CCTGCAAGCAATTTGTGGTTCCAGCCTGGACTATCCCAGGCAGCCAGAAGCAGCAAACCACATTTGAGATGTTGCTCCTCTGACTGAGACATTGCCCTTGTGGGAAGATCTTGCACTCTCTCCTCCCCAGAAACCACCCAGGAGAGGAGTCCTGCCTGCTCTTCCTCCTTGGAGCCTGCCTTTCCTGGCCTCCCCCTGTGCCCCTGCACACTCCTTACTGCTCAGGGAATGTGGGGTGGGGATGCCTTCAGAGCTTGGCAAATCCTGCTCTCCAAGCAGAAGGTGCCCAGCTCAAACCTCCCGCAGGGCAGAGCTGGGACAAGTGGCTGAGGTTTGGGGCAATGTCCTCCTCTGGGGCACCAGGGACCTGCTGCCATCCACCAGAGCAAACACAGCCCCTGCTGGAAGGAAGAACAGGAACAGGGCACAGCACTGGGCATCCTGTGCCACAGGAACGGCTCAGCTCCTGCCAGCCTGAAAACAGCAGCAGGAAAATGGACAAAACCCTACCTAGACCACAAGAATTCCTGCTCTGGGAACAGCCTTAGAAAAAAGGCTCCCTTTGCTGGCATTATCCCTGGAAGGGAGGAGCAGGAAAGGTGCTGTGGCTGGGCTGCCATCACAGCAGTCAGCCTTGTCTAATCCCTGAGATTGTGTCAGCCCTGGCTCGTGCTTGTGCAGTCTGACATCCCTGCTGAGCAGGGCCTGTCACTCCTGTCCCAACAATCCACCTGTGAGCATGGACATGAGCAGCCAAAGCCTCGGGAAAGGCTGGAAGTTCCAGCCCCCCCCGAATGTGAACATCTCCACAGACAGTCCTTGTTCTCTCCCTGCCACTCCAAATGTCACCAAAAATGATGCTTGAGGTGTTCCAACACCACAAATTTCACATAGTAAACCGCATTTACAAGTTTCATTTTTCAGAACAAAAGCTGAGACTGGGCATTCTTCTGTTGTAATATTTAAGTAAGTACACAGGGAGTACCTGTAATGTCACACAAACAAACCCCAAAACACCCAAAAGGCCATTTCCAGCCTTCCTTACAAGTTGACTGGATTAGCCCATTCCAGCCCTTTTGCAGGCTCTGAGTTGTGCTGATTTATTCTCCAGAGACAAAGTAACTCCTTTTAAATGTGGTTCAGGCCGTGTAAATTCTTTGTTTATCCCTGTGGAAACTCCCAAAGATTGCAAACACTGTCCAAGGACTTTCACTGCAGCAGGTACAGCACAAATTCCTCAGGGGTCTCAGCCATCCCCTGTGCTCCTCCAGGAACCACAGGGATTCCCAATTCCTGTCTCCAGGTTCAGAGGGTCCACAGGTACAGTCCTCACACCACCCTTTCTGGACTTCACCCTTTTATTTTAATAGTATCACTCTTTTCACAGAACTCCTGAAATCTATCTTCTAGAAATGCGAGTTCAGTGCAATCTTACTTGGAAAAAAAAAGGAAAATCAACCTGAATTGCTGAAAAAAACCTCAAACCAAACCCTCCCATCATTGTCTCTTCCCAATAGGATTTAATTCCCTCCCTTTGTCATTTCCTAGTTTTCATGTTTAAATTTGTTAAAAGGAATCAAAAGAAGAATCCTATCTCTCCTCTTTTCTGAAACAGCTCTCTATATAGTCCCACTTCTTCTTAAGAGCTAATAAACTGGATTAATTTTTTTAGGTTTTTAAGTAGAAGAAAAGCTGAGCAGAGACTTAACCCCTCCTCTGAAGCTTGCACAAAGCCTGGATTTCACAAGCTGACTTGTAGCACAAATACACCTCCCAAAGAATGCTTTTTCAAACCTTAGCTGGGAAGGTTTTGCAAAATAGGTATCAAGCACTAATTCTCTTTACAGCACTAAAATGATACTTACAGCTGGGAAGGAGTGGGATAGAATTCCCTCAGTGTAAGTAGCTGTGTCCTGCCAAACCCAGCTAAGGCTGAGCTGGATGTTTGAAATATCTGCTGCTCCAAGGCTTTGCTTTGCTGCCTGTTCCAGAGGGAATGGCACAGAAAATGCCACCTGATGGGCACAGCACAGGGGGGTCTGCCCAGCCCAGACTGGCCAAGGCCAGCACTGGCCCCCAAACCCAGGGGTTTGACTGATTTCTCCAAGTCTGGAATCAAGAGTTGCCAGGATGGCAACACCCTCACTCTTTGCTATCTGCTTCTGCAACAAATCACAGCAATTTAGAGCTTTTACACTCATGGGATCCAGCCTCCCAAGCAGAAGGGGCCTGTGTCCATCTGACAATCCAGGACACAGCTCAGGCTGCTGCAGTGCCCAAACACCAGTGCTGGAAGCACATCCAAAGGGTGAGGAAAGCCAAATTTGGTTTTCAGGCTTTTTTCCTCCCCCCTTCAATATTTTTGGCCTGATCAAGATGTACCCTGCCCAAATGTGTCCCCACTGCACCAGCACTCCATGAGCTATTTCACACCTCCCATGCCATTCTCCTGTGGAGCCAGCTCCACACAGACACTGCTGGTGTCCAAGGGGTGATGGAATGGAATCTTCCCCTGCACAGGGAGAGGCCAGGGGGGCCAGGGCTGGAGGATCTCCATGGCAGAAATGATGCTCAGCTGTGCAGTTCCTCCCATGCCTTCCTGGTCATTGGATCCAAATGTCACAAATGTCTCAGCTTCCTCTGGATCTGAGAGACAGGGACATGCAGTAATGTGGGACAGGGTGGTCACAGGCCTGGGGAAGGGAGAAGCTCCAGCTAGCCAGGGGCAGTACTTTATAACAGAAGAATAGAAAAATATAAGAGAAAAAAGAAGGAAAAAATACAGGAAATGTAAGGGAAAAAAAGAGAAAAGGGAAAGAGGGGGAAAGGGCAAAAAATAAGAGGGGAAAGAGGAAAAGAGGGAAAAGAAGAAAGAGAAAAAGGAGAAAGAAAAAAGGGAAAGAGGAAAAAGGGAAAGGGGGAAAGAAGAAAATGGGAAAGAGGAAAAGAGAGAAAAGGGGAAGAGAAAAAGGAGAGAGAAAAGGAAAAGGGGAAAAGGGAAAGAAAATAAAGTAAAAATAAAATGAAAACATGAAAAAAAGGAAGAAAGGGAGACAAAGGATGGTTCTACAACCATTCTTTAATGTATGAGGCCAAATCCCAGGGTTTGAATTTGAGTCCAGTTACAGAGGGAAGGGGAGGGGAGGGGAGGGGAGGGGAGGGGAGGGGAGGGAAGGGAAGGGAAGGGAAGGGAAGGGAAGGGAAGGGAAGGGAAGGGAAGGGAAGGGAAGGGAAGGGAAGGGAAGGGAAGGGAAGGGAAGGGAAGGGAAGGGAAGGGAAGGGAAGGGAAGGGAAGGGAAGGGAAGGGAAGGGAAGGGAAGGGAAGGGAAGGGAAGGGAAGGGAAGGGAAGGGAAGGGAAGGGAAGGGAAGGGAATTTCTCAGGAGCTGGGCCTGGTGCACAGTGGCTACAATTCCCTTGTCCAAGGCTAACAGAATTCCCCCCATTGTCCCCACTCAGATGAAATCCATGCCTGTACCCTCAGACACATCCCAGCAAAGCTCTGGAGAGTGGGAGCAAGGCACCAGAGGAGCAGGGTCAGGCCTCACCTCCATTGCTCCCCATCCCAGCTCTCTGCTGCTCCTGGGCCTCCCTCCTGCACAGGGGTACTCTGCAGGGTCTGATACACAATTATACCTGAGGCCACCCTGTGAATCAGGGTGCTGTCAGTCAGGTGGGGGAAGGATCAGAAGTGATGTGCTCTGGAGCTACTGAAAAACTGCCATGTTCTCCAGGCTCACCAGCAACAGCCAGGGAATAATCCAGGGCTCATCCCTCCACTGAGCACTGCAAATGTACCCCAAATGTGAGGGCTCCAAACACACTGAAATTCCAACTTCCTACAGTCCCCTGCAAGTCCCTTTGCCAGGCACTGCCCTGCTGTGGCTGGGACAGACGTGTGCCCACGCCCAGGGTCTGCTGTGCTGCCTGTCAGCCTGGGCTGCTGGGCTGGGCAGTGCTGCTTTTGGGCCAGACTGGATCCAGGGGGTTACAACAGTCCCAAAAAATGCCAAAACACTGGCAAATCTGAGAGATGTCCACCTTGAGCCTCTCTTTCCTCTCCCAAGAGCACGTTCATAAACATGCACAGGAACATGTGAAAGCTGCCCACAGAGAGGAATTATTATATTAATATACTATTATTATAATTCCTGCTGGAATTAACACTGTTGGAGCTCAGCCTGGCCAAGCTCCACCTCCAGAACAGGGCAAGAGGCTCTGCTCCTTGAGATGTGGGATGCAGGATGCTGTGTTCCTCAGCTCTCACAACACCCCACTCTGAGCACAGAGCTGAGGCAGCAGAGCAGGGACCCTGCAAATTCACCACCTGTCAGTGTGTACTCACTGCTAAGATGGATGCTCAGGCGGTGCTGAGGTGAATCATGGAAAGAGCTGCTGTCCTGAACCCAGGAAAACAACCCAACACAGGCAGTAACTCCCACTGAACCTGCCAGCACCCTGCATCTCCCACAAAGGGTGACTCACTGAGCATACTAAAACACACCCATTAGGCAGCATTTTACAAGGGCACACAGATCAGCAGATGAAGAATTCGTGGGACAGAGCAGCAGATTCCTCTGCCCAAAGCATCCCGAGATGAGAATTCCAGGCCAGGTGTCTGGGAGGAGATCAACACTCCTGGCAGCACACTGAGGGAACAAACCTCTGGCTGGGATTCTCCCTGGTGGGGTCACTGGTGTGTCCAGGTGTCCATGCTCCCCCCAGAGTGAGCTCAGCCTGGGCACACCCACTCCTGTCTCTGGGCTCATCCCTGGCCATCAGTGAGGATTATTTCCTTCACACTCTCATTCTTCTCCCCTCAATCCTTCTCTCCTAAAACATGCTGGTGGCAGCACCACAGGCAGCAGCCCTCGGGGACCGAGCCAGGGAAGAGGTGGAAAACCCCAGACACACCACAGGGAAGCATCACATCCCAACATTCTGGGGCTGTGTGGGAAAGAGAATGAAAGCCAGGCTGGGGAGAGAAAACAGGGCATTTACCTGACAGGAGATCTGCACCAGGTACACCAGCTCCTTGGACTCACAGCCATTCCTCGTCACTTCGTTCTGTTCCTCTGGGAGCGAGAGCTGCAGGGCAGGGAGGAGAGGAGACAGGAGCAGTCAGTGAGGGCACAAACCAGCCCAGAGCAGCACATGGAGCTCAGCACCCACAGCAGACATGCTGAGTCCCAGGGAACCAGGCAATAAGGGAATCAGGGCATCAGGGAATCAGGGAAGGGCTTGTCTGGCTGGAGCTGCCCCAGGGGAGGCACTCAGCACACACAGACCCTGCAATGCCACCGGATTCTGGAACCTCACCTGACACGTTAAAAATAAAAATACAGTTCAAAAATAAAACAGTTACGGGGAGGCAAACAGTTCAAGGCAGGAATTAAACCCTCCAGCTTAGAAGTCTGCAAAATTAATTGTTCACTGAAAATATCTCTATAAATATTCATGGATAGTGAATATAGAACAGAGCTTCTCCATACCCCCTCCCCACATGTTTTTAGTTTTTTATTTTATACATTCAGGCAGACATTAAATAATAAAACATATCTCCCAATTTCAGTGCTGTCAAGCAATTCACCCAGCAGAGTTTTATGGCACCATTCATCACACCCAGAGTCATTAAGAGCATCATCAGGATGTGTTTGTGTGAGAGAAGTGAGGAGACATTGCTGCATATGGACCGAGCCTGGAGCATCCCACTCCTGGCCCTGTTAACCCACTAAAATGGCTAATGTTTAATGATCTTCTCTGAGAGCAGAAATTACAAATAATCCTAAGTAAGTTAAGACTGTTTGCAAAGCAAATAAATAAAGGAAATGTGTACATAAAATTTAAAAGGCTGTAAAAAAATCCTAATTAGTCAAGAGCAATAAAAAAATCCTGAAACAAATGAAAGCAGAAATGAAAAAAGGCTGAGGAGAAGAATCCCAAGTTGTTGTATTTAATGGATGTAAGCAAGTGAAAATCAGAAGTGGGTAGTGAGAGACATCTCATGAAAAAGGGACAAAGAAGGCAAAGTTCTCTCCATACAAATGACCATGACACCTGGAATTTATTTAACTTTGCTCTGCCAGAATCTCCCTTCTCTCTGTAGGGAAGTCCCACTGCACAGATTCAGCCCTCTCCCTCCACCAACCCAGCTCCTGGAATTCTGACTTCTTTCCTGATGGCTGTACACAGGTAAGTAACAACATTCCTGGTCCAGAGAAGGTCTTTAGATTTGTACAATTTATTACCAGCATAGGCTGCTGCCATTAATGTGATTAAACACAACCATTGCTTCTGTATTGCACCTTCCCCCCCACCTTTATCATCATTCTTTGCTATCAAATGTCACATCTGAAGTGCTGCTGAGTTTTGAAACAGCCAAAGGAAAGCCAAAGCATACAGAAAGGGAAGGCTCACACACAATGTAGATATTTGCCATGTTTGCCAGGTATGAGGAGCTCTGGGTCAAAGAGGCCACAAAGATGATCCAAAGGCCACAGCAGCTCTTCTGTAAGGAAAGGCTGAGAGAACTCTAAGTGCTCACCTGGAGAGGAGAAGGCTCCAGGGAGAGCTCAGAGCCCCTGCCAGGGCCTGAAGGGGCTCCAGGAGAGCTGCAGAGGGACTGGGGACAAGGCATGGAGGGACAGGACCCAGGGAATGGCTCCCACTGCCAGAGGGCAGGGCTGGATGGGATCTTGGGAATTGGGAATTGTTCCCTGGGAGGGTGGGCAGGCCCTGGCACAGGTGCCCAGAGCAGCTGGGGCTGCCCCTGGATCCCTGGCAGTGCCCAAGGCCAGGCTGGATGGGGCTGGGAAGGTGTCCCTGCTATGGCAGGGGTGGAATGGGATGAGCTTTAAGGGCTCTTCTAACCCAACCCAATTCTGAGATTCTATTAATCAAATGTAGGTTTCCTATTCCTGGAGAAAGGTTTCTATCCTCTAATCTCCCCTGTGCTCCCTGAGGGCACATGGACCCCCCGGCCCCAAGGGAATTTCAGATGTCCCTTCACTGAGTGTATCAGTAGCAAAGCTCATCACCACAGGCCCCAAAAAAACAACAGCCAGGTAACAAAACCACCAAGAGGCAACTACAGAGCTCCCTGAGAGGAACTCAGGGCCTGACTGTGCAGCAGAACGTGGGGAAGAGAAAGGCAGGGGGTGAATTCATCACCCTCCCCCTCACACACGACACCAGGCCGGGCTCTGCACAGACCTCAGGAGGAGCAGAGATCAGCTGGAGCTGTGAGCAGGGCACTGGGGCACAGCAATCTTCCTTCCCGAGGCACTCCTGCCTGGGGACCATCCTCAGGATCCCATTCAGGGGCTTCACACCTCCCAGCCAGCCCCTCCTCAGCCCTGCTCACACAATCTTACTGTGGGGAGAAGGGACATTCCAGCCCACTGCTGGCCATGGGCCATGCACCTGTCCCTGATTTCAGAGGGGAACTCTAAAAACCAGCTGAACACTGCTCCTCTCCCACGGCAGCCTCGTGCTGACTGAGACGGAGACAGAAACTGTTTACACAGGAAAATCTCTGGGGTTTATCCTGCAGTCCAGCTGTCCTCACCGCAAAATGCCCCCAAAGATGAATATTTGCTCATGTTCCCTGCCCCACCTGGTTCAGTTTGTATTTTGCTTTGTTAATAGACACGCACCAAAGCTCTCTCAAAAATCATGGATGTCCTGATGTTTAAAAGCCTTTCCTGCTGCTGCATTCCTTGTAAACAGAACATCCTGGAAAGCACAGTTGCCCCCAGGCTTGATTTGAAATCCAAGCACAAAGCAGAGGCCTCTCCTGACCTTACTGGACTCTGAACATGACTCACGGGCAGAATCTGGTTGGCTCCGAAGTGGGACATTGATTTTTGTGTTCTTAAATAACAGAGCAGCCAGCAGGGTCTGGTGGATATCCCTGTAACTGTGCCAATGTGTTTTCCTGAGGTAAATAATCTGTAAATAGCATTTATTGCAAGTGATCAGAGTTAAAAGCATATACTTTATAATGTATAATCTGCAATGTTCCTTCTTCACATTGAAATTGGCTGTCAAACCGCCTGAGCCTGATGAACAATTATGAGGCATTAGATCCCATTAGGTTCATTTATTGTTGGAATATATATGCTTAGGATGAGTGGATATGACAAATTTTATAAATTGGCTTTAGAGTATCCTAAACTTTTCATTGGTAGCATTTCATGATACACAAAGAAAGCCTTAAAACCAGTCACACCATACTTTGTGCGCATGGATAATGCAGAGTCTTGAAAACATTACAGAATCAGGGAATCCCAGAATGGTTTGGGTTGGAAGGGACCTTAAAGCTCATCTGGTTTCTTGGGCAGGGACTCCTTCCACAGTCCCAGGCTGCTCCAACCTGGCCTTGGACATTTCCAGGGACAGGGCAGCCACAGCTCCTCTGGGCAGCAAGGCCAAGGCATGGCTCAAATTTGTCTTTACATGGCTGGGGACAAGTCTGGGAGCCTTCACCCTGCACACACTCACTGAGAGCTGATGATGAGTTCAACACAGGTAATTTTTCCTCTACCAGCAAACTTGTACCACAAGTTTTGGGCTCTTTTTGCCCAAAAGAGCAGTGCTTGCAGGCCAAGACTTTGCTGATCAATCTACAAGGAGCTTTAACATAAAAATGCTTCTAGTTCATGTCTGAGGCTCATCTCTGGCAAGCTGCGTGATAAGGGACTAATTACAGGGGTCTCCTGCAGAGCAAAATTTATTGGTCATTCCTCTTGTAGGGAAGAACAACGGCAAAGCAGGAGGCTGAGTTATGATACAGCACATTCAGAATTAAAAATAATTAAAAGATAACTCTTGAGATGTGTGCAATAATTTTTTTACTTCCAACCACTGCAGTGTGCTCCTCTTACAAATAGCAAAAGCTGTGAAAAATCATCTCAGGAAAGCACTACATAAATCTGTTGAGAAGACAGGGATTGTTGGCTACTAACAATGAGCCAATCCTGACCAGGTAAGACCAGGTGCCCCAGATGTCAAAGGAAGCTCATTCAGCAGCTTTAACTTTCATCTCCTCGTTTCCTGAGTGATGTCAACCCCATCATCCAGCTCTCCTGGTCAAAGGGTGATTTGTGAGAAGCCTGGGAATCGTGGATTTGATTTGTCTGTGGAACTTACTTCAACTTCTGCTTCATAGAGCCATGAATGCCCTGATCTCACTCATGCACATCACAGCAAGTGAGTAACACAGGGCTGTGGCAGAGAGCTCACAATAAAATAAAAATATGTAAAAAAGAGAAAACAAAACATAAAAGAAAATAAAAAAGCTCAAATAAATCCCCCTCCCCAACAGAATAAGTGTTAAGGTTATAATTTAATGGGGGAGGCATTTAGTAATTAGATGACAATTAATTAATGAGAACTGTAAGCTGGAAAAATAATCTTGTTTCCAAATAGGAGGAGCAGATCATCCTTCCCAAACTCCAAACCTGTCTGTGCAGGTAATGGTGTAAACTTTTATACTTTAATTAAACTAATCCAACTGAGACCCCCCCTCTTGCATCAGAGGAGTGGAGTCAGTGTGGAGCTACACTGACCTGGGACACAGCCAGGGAATAACACTCCAGAGAGCAGCAAAACCCTGTAAAATAACTCCTACAATTTTTGGAGCCGATTTCAGTCCCCTACACAGCACCTCCCAGGTTTCATCTAAATTCCTTGGATAATGATGTCCTGGTTGGGAGCCAGCAGAAAGCCAAGACCTCAAAGGTGATGCAGTGTGAGCACCAGGGCTGGCTCCTGCAAGAGGCTTTAGGGACACGGTTAGTGCAGAGCTGAGACAGGATCAAGCCACAGGGAGCAAACAGGAGCTTCTTCAGGAAAATATTGGGACAATCACAAATATCCAAATGTCACCAATCTGAGCTGACAGAGGAGTTTCTGGCATCTCTCACAGAGGGTGACAGAAACTTGCCTGTCCTTGGCCCTGCCCTGAGGGTTTCTCATACATTTCACGGCCAGTCAAAGGAATTATGGAGAATCACAGAATTGTTGAGGTTGAAAAAGCCTATGAGATCATGGAGTCCAACCATTCCTCCAGCACTGCCACGACCCAT